CTATTGTTTATTATTATTATTTTCATTAGATGTTTGTTTGATTTTTCTTTAAGCTATAAGTCTTTTTCGTCTGCTATTGTCTAAAAATTATATACATTTTTCTATAATGTATGACAACCATGTCTATTACAATACCGAAATTGTCATAAATTTATATATATATATATAATGAAATTCGTAATGAGTTTCTTTGTTAGGTTATTTTAACATTTAATATTCAAATAGAACTAAAATTGCGATCTTTATAAATGCAGGTTTGACAGTATGGTTTAGAGCGATCAGGGTTTCGATCTGTTTATATATAAAGTTTATATCTTTCATAAGAACCAATGTATGTATATGCTTGGTTTTTGTACGCCCTTTGAACTCTTTGAGGGCGGTATATAGAATTGAATTCTAATATGGGGCAGTAACGAATTTGCATAGTTCTGAAAATTTCTGACAGTTGCAGTAATAATTCTCTTTCTAATTAATATATTTGATTAATATATATGGCTCGATCGTGGTTTTAAATGGCTATTATTCGAATTTTATATTCAAAGATCTTACTTAAGACTTTTGTTCAAATTCAATAACCATTAAAAATCCAGTATACACAACCTTTTACTTGCATAAACTTTTCTTAAGCTTATAACAAGGAATGGAGAAGGAAATGAAATGAAACGATGAGAAAAAGAATTTTTTCAAGTCAAATATTAAATATGAGAATAAATAAAAAAAGAATTATAGAATTAAAAAAGAAAAATAAAAAAGCAAATTGAATAGTTTTCAAAATGTTAAAGAAGAAATTGAACAAGTTGCATAATAATTTTGAATATGTTGCAAAACTATACAAGAATACGAAAATAAATAGCAAAAAAAAAAAAATTGTGTTGAAAAGAATTTCTTTTTTGCTCATATTCGAAAAAAAAAATAATAATAAAAAAGAAGAAATTGTTAAAGAAATCAATTGATTTTATTGGAATCTGATAGGGTTTGAATAATATCCAGAATAACCCAAACGATTACTTAACAAACTTATATTTTATAAGTTGAAAAAGAAAAAGAAGAATGATTATAATTTAATTTATAATGTATGAGTGCTTTTTATTTGCATTAAGCATGCATAAAATACAATAATAATTGATGTTATTTCTTTTAAAGACGCATTAAATCGATTAAAAGTTTTTCTGATTCTCAATAATATCAAAAAGTTTTTGGAATATAATATGGCCATCTATACATAGTTATAAATATTTGTTAAAAAAATATATCGAGATTATAAAACTTTTAAGTAACAAAATTTGAGTAATCTAGTTGTAAAATAATCTAGTCTAAAGTATGAAAATTGTGTATGTACATTCAACAAATTGAAAATCGAAATTGTAGTTTTGGTGAATTTTATATTCTGTATACAAGATTTAGTACTTTAGTAGATGAGAAAAATTCGCTCATATTTTTAATTTAATGCAAGAAAATTTTAGAATGCTTTGAAAAAAGAATAAGAGAGAAACATCAAAATGTAAATGGAAAATTTTTTTTTTTGTATTTGAATGTATACAGCTGACTAAAGTAGCCTGATAAAGTATTACCAGTCTACATTGTATATTGGTTTATCAAAATGTTCTGCGTAAAAATTTTGCAACTTTGGTGGACACCCTTGTTATGCATATTGTTCAACTACAAATTTTATACGTAAATCTTTTAAAGTAAAACATGTTTTCGAGGATAACATGTTTTTTAAAACATGTTTTCCTATTGTAAATGATTTATTTTTAGGATTTTTTCTTCAAATCAAAGAAAATTTTCAAAGATATTGCAAAATATTTTTAAAAAATTTTTCAAAATTTAAATTTTTAGTAAAATTGAATCCAAAAATATTTCAAAATACAAAAATATTTTTTCAAAACTGTTAAATAAACAAAATGTTAAGCAAAATAAGTTCGCTTTAAATAAAATAAAGTTGGGTCAAACCAATGGTTTGTATTGTAGCACTTTTCCCTTCAACAAATTAAAATACTACTTTCAAATACAGTCTATATATACCTACTACTCTATTAAAATTACTTTTATTCATGTACGAAACTATTTTTAAGATTGCATACATTTAGGATAAACGATTTATGCAGTTTGAAATAAAGCAAAAATAAATTTAAAGAAGGGTTCACATGATGCTCGATTTTAAGGGTTAATTGTGCGAGTTAAGAAAAATAATTACATTTTTTAATGTTGTGGAATTTACCGTTAGCATTTTGCGTTTATAGAAATTTGAAAAAGCTTGTGGTTAATAATGCGCAAATATAAGGTGCCAAATATTCAAATTTTTACAAATTTCGAGAGGTGATAACTTGAGAGGGGGCAGAGATGGGAAAAAAATGAATATCTAAGAGCTGCTAAAATTTCAGGCTCCTGGTAACGTACGGTGTAGAAGAAAAACGGCATTAAAAAAAAACGGATTTTAAATTAAAACGGTAAATTTTAACCGCCATTTTCTTTTTTTAAAGTTCAGAAACGGTATGCCGCGATAGAAGAAGCCAGCTACTATTTTTCTGCTTTTGCAAAATTTGAATAATGTTTATGGCTTCATTGCAATAAAAAGTTAAAAAATGCCGTTCTTAGGGTTTTAGGGGGTTTTTTATAACTTTTAATGGGGGGGGGGGGGGGCGAATTTAAAGCTTATTCAGGGATTCCACGGAACAAAATTTTCACCTATCCCCCACGGGTTTCTAGTGAAGATCTATGTACATATAAAATTTCAGCTTTCTATCTTGAAGGGTGTAGAAGTTTTGTAAACAGACTGACACACAGACAGACGGATTAACAGACAGAGTGAAACTAATATGCACTTATTTTCAAAAATTTTTTGGAAAAGTGCTAAAAAACACTTATGTCAATCCAATTTTCTATAACATGGTAATCAAAGGATATAATATGTTATTCTCCTATAAAACATTAATTATTATAGCAGCAAAAAATTTTATACCATTCATTCTCAATGTGTCATTAATTTACACTTTTTCGTGTCATTAGCTTATTCAATTTAATATAGTGGAGCTTCCTTAACTCAAATTATTTCAAAATATCAAGGATATTATGACAAACTACAATTTATTTTGCGGAGCTACAAATTTTCGCACCAATTTTTTTTTTTAAAAATATTGTTTGAAATTTTTCTTTCAAAAGTTCATTGAAATCAATGCAAATAAAGTTGTTTGTTAAAATTTGGTTGGCAATAAAAGGGCAAATATACTTTTAGAATTTTATTTTAAATAAAAAAAACTAATACCAAAATTTTTTGGGAATTACTCGTATATGAAAGTTAATAAATGAAATTTTTTTTTGTTATTTTTATAACTCAATTTTCATTTTTAATATCAAAAATAATTTTTAATATCTGTTATACATATGTACATGTATACATACTTTTCAAGATTTTTCTAATAATATTGAAATATCCTTGTAAAATTTATATACAAAGAGAAATAAAGAAAATTATCGTCAATTCTCTCATTTGTATTCAGGTTTCATTTGAAAAAAAATTTCTGCCTCAAAAGTTTCTTAAAAGATTTTTCTGCTTTTTTTTCTTTTTTCAAAAAAAATTTTTTTTTTGTAAATGTTGTTTTTATTTTTTCAATATTGATGTATTTTTGTTCCAAATATTTATAAAACCATGAAGAACTGTTATTTACGAGACTTTTTATTCTTCCAACAGAAAACTCTTTTCAGTATGTTTGCCATATTATTGACAAACTTTTTATTATATACATACACATATAGATATGTATCCATATACGTACACATAATATGTATGCATATATGTATATTAGATTAGAGTTTGGAGACTGTGTACACATACTCTGTCTGACATTTTTTTTTTTTATTTTGTGCTTTAAATTCACCTAAAGTAACCCTCTCAATAGAAAAAAAAAATAGAAAACTCTTTCCATTACAATATTATATTGGTGCCTATATCAATGAATCATAATTTTGAACAGGGTGATAAAAAATATGCAGATAAGTTAAAATATGTAGGTATGAAAAAACTGACAATATCAGTACCGGTTATTGGAGAATTGGTCTTAAGGTGAGGGAGGAGGGTGTAAGTTTAGAAAATATATTTTCAATGTGAAATAAAGAAATAAAAGAGAAATACAATTAATAATTTTGTGATGACGATTTACAATGACAAAATAATTGATTAAAAGAGGAAGAAAGCTCTTCCTATAAGATACCAAAATTTTTGCCATTTTTAATTACTTTTTGTTCATTGCTGTCTTGGTTCTTAAAAAACTAGGATGACAATGCCGTACAACTGACTGAAATTTTTTCTGCCGTTGAAACTGATAAAAATGACTGAAACTTTTTTTCCGCTTTCATATAAATTTACAAGTTTTTTACATTTGCTTCTCTAAATTCGAAGTGACCAATCCTAAGTACCTAAATTGGAAGTGACAGAATCCTAAGTTGAATATAAACTTATTCTTCTAATTCACAAAATATATAACAGAAATGAAAGAATTTCATAATTTTATATATAAAAAGCACCTTGTATTTTACCGTTCTAACATATCATAAAATCATATTTCCTCCTTCAATGATGATGTACTCTTATTCATGATTCTTATTTCATGACTTTTAATAGAAAAAAATAAAAAATAAAATGAAAACAAATGACAAGAAAAGAGTGAAAAATCACAAAAAAAAATTTTTCTCTCGTATTCACATTTGTTTGTATACAAAATGTTTATATACATTAATTTTCCATGTATGTACCTTCATATATTAAAGTATACAAATATTAGCATATTACAATTTACAATAATTTTTTTATTTTTTTGCTTCCTCTAAATATATTTCTATTTATTTGTATTTAGGATGAATACATATATACATATATATAATCATAAGTTAAGAATAAAATAAATAAAAATAAAGAGTTTACTTAGCAAAAAAAAATAAAAATAAAATAAAAATAAATAAATAAGAAAAACAAAAAATTGTTTATCTTTTCTTTTACTTACATATGACAGTGAGCCTTGCTGGTGGTGATGCCTGACGTGCTCCACTTGAACTGGTTGCTGCTATGCAGACATAGTCACCAGCATCTTTATCCTTAACAATATCATTCACATGAAGATTAGAACCGACTTGATGTACACGTGATGAATTTTGAATTGGATGACCTGCAACATTGGTTAGAAATGAAAGAGAAAGGAACAATTGAATAAAATGAATGAATAAATGAATGAAAAATAAAATTTTATATAATTTTTATAATATATATGTATATGCATTGTTATGATACAGTTATTATAATGGAAAGTTTTTCCTATTCAAAAAATAACTTGAGTATTTTTCATATTTCAGATACTTATGCTTTCAATTTCTGAATGGTTTCTATATATATCTTTTTTTTTATAATGTAGACAGTTCAGGCATTTTAATATTATTTTTATAATTATTGTTTTTGTTTTTGTTTTTGAGAAAATTATAAATAGAAATGAACCTAATTATCACGAAAATAATAGAAAAGATAGAAAGGAAATTAGAAATAATAATGAAAAGGTTTTTTTCTCACTCAAATTTTATTGTTAACAATCAAATATTTTCTAGAATGTTAATATATTGTTATTATTTAGGATTATAGTTGTTATAAGGACATAGATTATATGTCCTAACTATAGATATTTGTCTTTATGTGCAATATTTAAAAAGGACACTCTAAAGTTTGTATTCTAGTAGAGTAACTTTCTAAATTAATCTGTAATATTTTTTCTATTCCTTCTACTAGTCTATAATAAATAGTCTTACATCCATTTCATACCAATTTTTTCTCCTACAAGTCGTATTGAATACATCAGTTATTGGAAAAAAATAATGTGCATTTCTAATTGAAAGTTTTCAATATTAGTTATTGAATAGAGTTTATTTAATATATTGATGTAGCTATTGTTTATAATAATTTTCAACCATATTTTATTCTCTTAGGAATACCACGAATTATTGTATATCCTTAAATCTAATGGTCATTTGAAGACAACTATTTTTGATATTCAATTGATAAAATGCACTGAAATTTAAAAACTTTTAAAACTATATTCAGACAATTATCAGATCCGCAAATTATTAGTCAGTAATCTTCAAATCAGTAGATTTGAGACACTTATGTAGATTTGAAAGATGCAATTATTCGTTAAAATCTACATCTTGAATTACGTTCCAATCGCTTTGTTTTAGTGCTGTGTAAATATTTTTGTTTTGTACGTTGTAATTTTAATATGCACGTTCTTTGGATCTATTCAAATTGACATATTCGAGCCTTTTTTATTCACGTAATAATTTTAAAATCATTTGTTCAGAAAAGAGAGAATTTAATGTTACGTCCATATTCTCATCTATTTAATAAATTAAAATTTATGCAATATATTTTTTTTTTCTTATTTAAATAATTAATTAACATTATAACTTTTGAGAGAATTTATTATAGAGTAATGAAATCATTCATGTTGCTTTTGTTAATCAAAATAATATTTTTTATTTTTATTTCTCATTTCACATATTAGCATTATATTGCATACATTTAGGAGTGACAAATATTTATTGTGTGAGATCTTTTTCACTGCACGTTGTCATTATTTTAATTTCTATTGAAAACTGTTAGTATACAAATATATATGTAAATATATAGTATGCATAAAATATATTGTAAATTTTTTTTTTAAAAAGTAAAATGAATGCAAGAATACACGCCATTCAATAGAAAAAGTTTATTGTATGGTAGATTGAAATTGATTTTATAATGTGTTAAATTTGCACCTATTGAAAAATTATAAAAAAAATTTTGTTTATATGGGAACAAGAATATCATAGCTCAACTAAATGAAACTTTAAGTGAATATATATATATATATAACTATGAAATTGCATGGAAATTTTCTATGGAAATGATCCTGCGAATATGATTCCAATTTTTTCTAAATATATCAAGTATATGAGCGAGTATTTTAAATTTTAAATCATTGAGTATGAATTATAATATATAATTGTAAACTTTTCTACCATATTATTTTTCTGTACTTATAATCTTTAGCTTTAAAATTTTGTTGATAAATAATAAATTGTAAGAGTGTGTAGGCGTTTGTATATTAAAATTACTATATATTATATAGCAGATAGATGATGAGTTCATACACATGGTTCATGATATTGCAAATTTTCATAATAATATAAGAAAATATTCTATTTTATGAAATACTAGTAAGTATATTGCATGTTATTTAAAAACAAAAAAAAATTCAAAATATATTATGAGAATCTAAATCTGTATATGTAATGTTAAATACCCTCTCTTCTTATAAAATATAAGTAGATTTTGAATTATGTGAAATTTGTTATATGTACTCGTATATAACTTCTTGTCATATATCACTTTTTATTCTATATCTGCCATATTATACTTACCTCTGGCGCTTATTTATGTATATACGAATGTAAGGGATTCCTGATGGAATGAAAATTTAATGGATATAAAAAAAAAAATAACAACATTGTATGTAAATTGTATGCATATATGATATTAATTTGAAGAGTCTGTTTTTCTTTTTATTTTTTTTTTATTATTTTTTATTATAATTATTATTATTTTATTCACCTTTTCTTACAGTATATACATATGTATATACACATAATGGTGTATAATATAATAGTATGAAAAAAAATGGAATTTTAAATAATATAAAAAAAATTAAGAAAAAAAGTGCAATAAATGTCGTCTAGAACTGATTTTTATATGCAAATATGCATACAATGTGTGTGTATGTTAAGAATTTATGTAAGGATAATGATTATAATGATGATCATAGTACAATAACCTGACTTTATCCCTTCTGAATGCATTCTTATATTTTATTTTTAATTTTTTTTTTATAATAGATATGTATATACAAGTATAAATGTATGTATGTACATCATACATATGTATAGAAGGTAATTCAACCAAAAACAATCAAGTTGTCTTCTACTTTAAATCACAAATATAACAATTCAACTTGAATTTTTGTATTTTTTTATGTTATTTTTTTTTGTACAATATTTATAGTTATATTCATAAATTCGCATATTTTTACGTACATTCGTGTATAATTACATGTATTTTTATATATAGGGTGTCCAAGACTCGATGGTACTTAAAGTATAAGAAAACAGTTTCATTTTTTCTCGTTTTCCTTCTACGATTTATTGGATCCAACATGCCATCTATACTACCACAGTCTCAAGAAAATATCTGCAGAAATCCCTCAAGAAATTGAAATCAGACTTTTTAAAATTGAGAAAGTCCCGCACAAATTATCTCTGCCTTCTGAAGGGTTGAGCAGAATAGCTAACATAAAATATTTATGATCGTCTACTAAATGTTTCGACAGAGTCAACCGAAAATGAGTTAAATTTTCTCGGAAATTTTTCCAGTGAAGAAGTTAGTAATAGCACAAACACAATTTCGATCCACGCTTTCTTTGAGTAAAATGAAGGGGACAATGTCGCATGATGGCATTCTTTCTTAACCTTAAAAAAAGCCAAGCCTGTCTTCAATGGCGAACGTTAGCGACCACAGAAGCAGACGAGTTGCATTAATGGGGCATTGGACCCTTTGCGTGCTAGCTCGTCAGCAATTTCGTTGTTCACTGTCCACTGTGACTCAAATAAACGACGTTCTGTTTGTTGATTCCAATCCAACTAGCATGAGAAGATAGTTTTAATCTAGCGCAAGTTATTATTTATAAACGAACGTTACTTTTCAATGCTATGATATACTTCAAATATTTTCAAGAGACACCTTATAATATTTATTGCTTAAGGTCCAGACTATATTTGTATTGCAAATTTTTATGTTAAATATGAGAAATTTTTATAAAATTTTGTAAAAATAAATGGGGTCGTATAATATATTTTTAAAATATACAGTAAAAGCAAAAAAAAAAAGAAAAATCTTAAAAGTCTTAAGTTTGAGTACATTTTTACTATCTATAACTGCAAGTATTACTATTTTAAGAAAGTCAAAATTTATATTTTCGCTATAACGTTTCAAACTTCAATTCGTAAAGTAAGATTTGAAACTGAAGTTATGATCTTTTATCATAGTTTGATTTATTTTTATACCTGTAGGAACGACTTACCGTTTGTAACGCTAAGAAATAATGGTCTGAGATATAGACTCAGAAACTATAAAATCTGTGATATTGAAATTTCGCAGGAGTAAATATAGAAGTAGGGCCGATGCGTTTGATCAAATTCGTTAAAATTGTTTGGCTCTTTCTGGTACTCGTAATTGCCATACAATTTCAATAGTAGTTTGACACATTACTGAAATTTTGCATAAACTAATATGGTAATACGACAACTTAAAGTCATAGTCTGTCCCACGGTCATCTATGGTATATTTAGGATAGCAAATTCGTACGTTTTAAGATGATTTTCAAGAATTTTTCAATGGTTTCATTCAATACCAAATTTTAAATGTTATTGTGTGACATAAAATGTTAAAGAACATTAAACAGAAACAAAAGAAAAGTTGTATTTCATATTGTCGTACTAAGATGTTGCTTTTGTTGTAATTATTAATCTATAGTATATAAAATTTTACGATACGTACTGTAGCCATTAAATATTCATGCAATTTGCTATACGTAGCTTATATATATATATGTAATTTCATATATTATTTATAACTATGTACATACGTATATATATTTATAAATATGCAAAATAAAATCTTTTATTTTATATATTAATAAATGCATAAATATGAATAAATGTGTATATGCATCTATTCATATATTAGAGTATGAAAATTTTTCTCAATTAATATCCTTGAAGAATTAAGATTATGTACACTAAGAATTTTTTTATGATAAATTCAAGTATATAATGTACATATATACATACGTACGAATTCATGTTGTAGATATTTAAGTAGATTTTGTTCTCTTCAACAATATACATACATATATATATATATATATATGTATATTTCTTCCATTGTATGAACAATAAACTGCAATCATATATATTATGAACATAATGGTATATACCACATACTACATATAACTACGAAAGGATGATTATTTAAAATCACTCCTGAAAGGATTCATTTCGAATATAATAGCAGAATAACAAGAAGAAGAAAAAAAAAAATAATAAAAATATATAAAAATTGAAGTTGGAATTTTTTTTTCGTATACAAAACAACAAAAAAAATAAGAGAAAACTGACATATCATTATTTTTCTGTGGTATATGTGGATGTGCACGTAACTCTGAGGGTATATTTTAATAGATATATATATACAATATGTAATATGTATAGCAAAGTTTTCGTACACTTATATTTATTTTATTATATAAGGGGTGTTTATGGTGTTTACATATGCATATATGTATGTATATGTAAAAGTAAATTGTTTTGATACTTTTGGAAACATAAAAATTGACGTCGACATTGAATTGTTCTTATGTTGTACAAGTGGTAAACTTCCACTTTTTTTTTTATATTTTGGATTTTTTGCTATTCTTTTTTGTTTTTGTTCAATTTTATTTTGCTGTTCTTGTGTAAAACAATTCGAACTTAACAGGTTAATTACTGTAAAAACGAGTTAAATAATCAAAATATATATATGTATGAAAAGGAAAAAAACAAAAACTGGAAATATTTTAAACAATCCTACAGATTGTTTAAAATATTTTTATTGATTATTGTTTGAAAGCTATAACTGTATTGCCTATATAAACTAATTTCGAAGCGGAGTAAGAGAGACAAAGAGGATTTGTAATTACATTTTTGCCGCGTCGCATCTTTTTAAAGACTCTAGTTTTAATATTTTATTCTATCAAATATTTTTCATGGATTTGTTTAATTTGGTTTAATTTTGACGAGAATTTGATGCAAAATTATGTCATGTGAAACAGCGTTTTTCAACAGTTGTCAATTCCACAATGAATCGGAGCCTTGAAATTTTAAAAGAAGTCTTTATAGAAACTCTACACTTATATTCTGAAGTTGATTAAGGATAAATCACTAATGCTAAGAGTTGTATTTAATTAAAAAAATGCTATTTTATAAATCGAATTCTTCTATTCATTAATAAAGCGCCGGAGAGAAATAAAACGAAAGCCCAGCTATCTAAACCTGATCAAACAATTCCACTTTACATTTTATTTTAGATCCACTTACCTTTTATTACAGATTCACTTAACTTTTGATTACAGTTTTATTAATTGTGGTTTCAAGCGATTATTTTTTCCATTATAGTTATTATTTTTATCATGTTACAAACATTTGACCGCAATCAATATGTAACATTTTCTTTTATAAAGACAACAAAATAGAAATAATAACAAAAGGAAAGTAAAAAATTAACAGGATAATATTATATAGGATTTTTGAAAATAACAGGAAAACTTTTTCACTTAAATTTTACAAATACAATATAAACCAATATGTATAACAATTAAGTATTAGAAATATACATACATATATGAACAATTTTGTATATATATTTATGATAATATAAAATTCATGTAATGTCATTTACCATTAAGAGTCCAAGAGTATTTAAGACCTGGAGTAGCATGACAAGAGAATGTAACTGAATCACCTTCAATAACTGTTTGACTTTCCGGTACGATTATGAATCGTGATTCACATGTTATAACATCTGTAATGAAAAAAAAACGAATTAAAAAAAGAAAAATGAATATTTGTTTTTTTTTGTAATATTTTCATGTTTTTTTGAGGAATATTTAATGATTAATATGTAACGTGACGATTTAATTTTAATAAGAATACCGTTTTCTGCATATATACGAGCACGAGGTTTATAACGGTACTTAAACATAAATATTGTACGTTATTATATCTATAAAGTGTTATACTTAAGTCCATTACTTTTTAATTACACTATTAAGGTGTATTAATATTTGTGTAATGAGAAATTTCGATGCATGGCTCAATGTTTTTGTGCTTCATTAAAATTAAGATTTTTATAGAATAAATTTAACCAAGTATTGAAAGGATTCAACCTTTTTATTTTATTATTAAAAATTGTAACATTTATAATTGAGTTTTAAAAATTTTTTCATTAATTCTCTATGTTTTTGAATTTAATTAAATATATAAAAATTTAATAAATTGTTCAAACATACAAAAATTAATTTAAAAAAAATTTAATCTGGAAATTTGACTTAACATAGTTCTTTATGCCTTCCTATATTCGTAATTGTAATCTCTTCAAAACTTTTTGCATCACAGATTAAACACAGACGAAATTAGAAATTAGAGCGGAGACCTGAAGTTAAATGATCAAACTAGGTTGAACCGTGATATTTGCCAGAAGACATCTGCATGTCTCTGGATTGGCACTTTTCTAATACAAGATTTTTTGGAAGTTAGATAAGAATGAGATTAATTTTTTCCTATTTCTTATAAATGTGCAGTTCTATATAAAGCCATAACACTCCCTAGCACATATGGTCGTTGGGTCCAGTGCATGTGGATATATAAAATATCGACAATTAATATCTTAGATTTAGAAAGATCAGAAATTTAAAGCTAAATAATTTTGATCGTACAATATGCATTTGATTTTGGTGGTATATCTGCATCTATAATTGGAAACATCAACTCTCAACCATTAATTGGTTATTTTTCTCATGTTAAAATTAGGTAAGTGTATTAAATACACGCAAGTACAGAGTATATTTAAATTTTTAATTTTCTTTATCCTAGAAAATTAATATAAAATCAATTTCATTTAAAAAAAAAAAATTTTAAATTATTATATATTAAAAATTTATACCGATAATGGAACACAAATATTGAAATTTAGTGGTTGGATTATTTTGTAAATTATAAGGTCTTATAGAATTTTTTCAATTCAATGATTTTTATTAAATTAGTCTACATGTTGTATAAATAACTGCAAATATTAGTATTGAATTAAATTATTTTTTTTTATGTAAATATTTTCATTAATATTAATTAATTTTAAATTTTGTCAAATAAAATCATTTTCAGTCGAAAAACTTTCACTATAAAGATTTTGTAATTTTTGGAAATTAATATAAATTTCTTTTTTAATATGAAGTGGGATAATGGCAGTGTGTTCCTTAAAATTTTGAAATATGAAGTGCACTGACACGAAATTTAGAATAGGAGGTATGCATTGGCACGAAATAGCCTTTTGGAATTCCTTGCAGAACTAAGTAATTGTAGTGAAAAACTATTATTTCAAAGGAGGACAGGTTTTAAAAGCAATTAAAAAGCGAACTAAAATTATAACTATTAAAGGATATTTTTCGGACGTAAAATTTATTCGGCTTGTTATGCAATATTAATATTTTACTTTCTGAACTTAACGCTTAGTTGGGTAATTTGGACATTCTTCAAAGAAATTTTATTTTAAAGGTTGATCTACCATAATATTAATGTATTTATTCAAACGTAAATTTTGTTTTGTGTAACTGTAAGTGCAGTATAGAAGGAAGAAATCTTGAATATTGAAAATTTAGAGAAATTTTGAATATATATTTTTTTATCTCCTCTTTTTTCTTTAACCCTAATATTGTCTTCCTGGTTATCTCAACAATTTTAGTTTTATTAGTTTAGATTATTATTATTTTATAATATTCATTTTAAATCTACAACATTTTTGAATCGGGTAATATACTTTATCTATATGCTGTGACAGGCATAAATACATATGTATACATAAAATGTACATAAATATCTGTATATAATATGCAATATTTTATGAGTTTGTACAAGAATCTTTGCAACATAACCACTTTGCATAATTAATTTTTGTGTATGGCAATGTTACGAGAAAAATTTTTATTTCCACATTATTTTTTTTTTCTTGCTTGCTTTTCTAAATATTAGGATAAGAGGAAGAAACAAAAAAACTTGCAAAAGAAAATGCAAAAAAAAAAGAAAAATTGTGAAGTCAATTAAAGCAATGAATGCAATGACAAGAATTATAAACAAAAAATATTTATATATGCGCACATATGTATAATGTATGTGTACGCATAAGAGTAGAAACTACCCACTAAACAAGTAAAGGGTAATATTTAAAGAAATAATAATATCTATCTAAAACATGAAAATATGAACATGTTTCAATTCAATTGACTGCTTATAATCGCAAGGAATGTACATGGTGTTGACGAATTATTTTACTTTCAAATTCCGTAAAGTAATAGGGTGGAAAATAATTTTGGTTATGATATTATTTATAAAATTTTGTTGTTTATTCAACTAGCATCATTTAATACCATACCTCATTTTGTTATCACTATGTGGTGAAATTGTTATCAAGGATTAGTTTTTTATGCGCGCTAAGATGATTGTCAATCAGACGTCAATTGTGTTTTTTTGTGGAATCCGTGGAATCTCCCGTAGTTTTTATAGAAATGTCTTAGAATACAATCATTTTCGTTTCCTCCAATGAGAATATAATAAAAAATTATGGTATAGTAAGATTCAAATTTCCGGACCCCGAATATTTGGAAATATTTTACATAGAAATTATTGTATATTCAAAGTATAATACATGCTCACTTTTTTTATCTTACTTAATTATACATTATTTAAATAATTAGCAGACGCCTGGTAATTATTTAAAATTTTTTTGGTATTTTGAATAAATTAAACAATTTGAATGGCGTTAATTGTATATTCTATAATAAAAAATATTTTCTTCTTTGACAGGCACCCTGTTAAAAATTTTAATGCAATAACAAACTAAAATTAATACATATTACAATTATTTAAGTACATACGTACACATGCATATTTATCTACATATAATAAAAATTCACATTTTCTCTAAGGTACTATATACTCTTATTCTGTCAAAAAAAAAAAGAAAGATAAATGAAAAAAAAAATGTTCGTCAACTCTCATTTTTTTTCTACATTTTAAAAACATTTTTATATTTTTACTCCCTTATTCGCACACATGACATCTATATTCTATTTATGACATCGTAATACGATGGTGATTTTTATAGTGGTGAAAATGTATTATGTACTTATATGGAAAAACAACATTTATTAGATTTAAGTATTAAAATAAGGCAAAATGGTGGCAGAAGGGAGGAGAGCCGAGAAATTCTAAAATGTACCATGGAAGAGTTAGAGTTAGAAAAAGGAGAGAGCATAAAAAGAAATATTTTTCTTTTTTTGCCTTCATAAAATATAAAATTAAATGATGGGTTTGGGAGTGTATGCGTATAATTCTACTTAAATATAAAATGTTAACAAATTCCCATTAAGATGCTTATGTTCATAAAATACATGAATATTTAAATATATATATATGTATGTATGAATTTTGTAAAGTATATATAATGATATGTGCATACCTGTATATGGAAGATTATTTTAATTGAATTTTGTCTAAAGTTGTTAGACAATATTAGTGCGGTGTGTGCTAAAATTAAATATAATTAACGGAATTAACTGAATTTTTTTTTAGTTTTAAATATTGTTATCATAATGAAATTCAAAATAAATAACATTTATATAACTATATATTATACTCGTACACATATGTATATAGAGATTAAGTATTTATTAACCCTTTTATTTGCTCATTTTAGATCATACCACATTCTTGCATTTATTAACACAATTAAAATATGGTTGAATATTTTTTACAAAATTTTCGTTACTTTAAAAAATAAGGTAGCTAGAATAGAAAAAAAATAAAAGGTGGGTAGCTTTTTGTGTTTTTTTTTTTTACTTTGTGTGAAAGAAAGCAAAAAATACTACATTATTATAGGGTTTAAGAAATCTTACAAGAAAAAAATTAATGGGACTACTAAAAAGTTTAAAATAAATAATTGAAACTTAAAATAGGATCGCAAAAACAAAATTATTTTTTGTATTACAGACAAAAAGTAAAATTGCATATTTATAGGCAACATTAATTTGCAAAAATGAAATTTAATTTAAAAGGAATGTTTAAAATTAAATTAGTAATATGTAAAGAAGAAAATACCGAAATGGAAGTCACGTAAATGAAAATTTTTACAAAATCTGCAATTTTGGTATAATTGGCTTCTATTGTAAAAAAATTGCATATTTCGTGGCGCCCATATTTTATTTTTATTTCACAGTTATAAAATGGTAATTATTTAATAAACTTCTTAATTGATTCTCCCGTTTTTTCAAATTGTTGAGGTACGTTTCAGATTCCATCCATTTTATTATTGAAGGTATTAATAAATGAAATTTGTAATAATTTCGAGAACTAATGGTAGAAAAATTCAATTGTCCTGGACTAGCTATATGTTTTCATTTTTACTTAAAGAATTTTCTATTTGGTTACTTAGTTGCTGTTGATTATTACTGTTATTTAAAATATTAACAACCATGACGTGGTCATAAAGGAGTAAATGAAAATTAAAATAGTAAAAACTTTCTGTTATCATTGCCAATGGTAAATATCGACAAACGAGACAAATTATTCATTAAATTTCTGAATTTGGAAAAAGTAATCAAATATAAAAAATCATTTAACTTTGAAACTTCATAAAAATAAATTACATCGTTAAAATTGAGAGAAAACTAAAAAGGAAAAATACAAAATTTAATGTAAAAAGAAAACAAAATTTAATTTAGAGTCAGGATAAATTTAAATATAAAAATTTTA